CAAGAGCAATGGCTCTCACTTCCTATTGAACTGATAGACCGCATAATTGAAAGCATCACACATCGCTGTTTGTGCTGTATTGCTTCTAGAGGCAATCATATTCCATATTAAAGGTACTTTTTCTATTGCAAACCGATACTTCCAATTTGTTTATTTTATACATGTGCTAATTTCTATACTACTATTAATGTCTGATAATTTCTTTTTATGTTGTTTAATACCTTACTATGTGTTGTATATTGTGGGTAAGTTTCATAAAATTCCATGTGTAATTTCTTGAGTTATCGCGATTTTTGTGAATTTTCCTTAATTTATGATAACCAGTGTATTTACAAACCACGCAAAGGTCAGAAATACATGCCAAGAGTAAAAGTTCTATGTTCCATTTTAATTTTCAAGTCATCCCAAGTCAAAATTCTTGATACTCCCATCAAAAAATTTGATGGTTTATAATGGTTTCAGTGCGGTTCATGATCGTCCAACAACATTTGATGGTTACCACCATCCAAAATTTTCCAGTATGTGTTCATAGTTTTTGATATGCCAACAAACTTCCATCATTCCATGATAGAAAATGCTACTTTAATACTATGATCATTAAGGAGAAGTTATGGACCAACAATCCATGATGATCTGTGATCGTTCCAACTATACATTTCCATGACGGTTTAATGGGAATTCTTGTTGGTTCCCAAGAATCATGAAAACAATTTTGGTATTTTTATGTTGGACCATCATAAATCAGTCCGAATTCCTACATTGGGATGGTGGTCATTCATGATCGTTCCAGCATTTGATTTCAAAGATACTACGATGGAAATTCATTATGGTTCAACATAAACAAACCATGGACGCAAGTTTCTATTTTTATGTTGGATCACCATAAATCAGACTGGAGTACATGTGATGGTTATCATAAAAAAATATAATGGTTCACAATGGAATTATTGATGGTTCCATCAAGATTATGTTGATCCATCAATGGAAAACCATAAGAAATTTTGACTTAGGATGGCATAAATCCCTGTGTAGATATTTTCCTGTGTCCAAAATAATGCAATATGAATCAAGAAAAATAGATTAACGCGCAATTATTATTAATAATAATTAAGTTCATTTAAAAAGTGGTTAAAAATCATTTCTTACAAGATATCATACCTTACAATAAAAAAAATCATATTTATTGCCATAGAGTATAGGTGTAACTAGCACAATTTCAAACTCTACACATACTATAAATAATAATAATGTATACACACCATGACTCATGCTCAGGAAGGATAATATTTTTCTTCACATCGTAGAAATTTTTTATATAATATAAATTTTCTTCACTCTTAGTCACTTTTTACATTTAAGGCATTTTTAAGAACTTTCAGGACAATTTTTTATGGTCATACAAATTAGACAATATCAGAATTACTATGTACATATTTAATTTTAATAGTAAATTTTTTAAACCTGGATTTATTATTTATTATTTTAATAATATATAATTAATTACAGATACCAAAAGGTTTCTTTCTTACCTTTTTTATTTTTTTTAAGAAAAAAGAAAATAGTAAGCTCTTTGAAATGAAATTCCATTAAATATGAAGAAAAAAAGAAAGGTATGAATTTCCATTAAATGTAATTTGTTTTTAAGAAGTTTTACGCAATCAAGCAATATTATATGTAGAACATTTTTAATATTCAGTGCGAAATGAATTTAGCAATATAAATAAATAAAAGGAAAAATTATAATATGTAATCTATATGAATATTTTTTCATTTTTATTAATATCATTTATTTATTATTATTTTTGCATTCAGAAAAGTCTATTTACATTTTCTAAACAAAAAATGTTAATTTCTAAAAAAAAAATATGCAAAAGAGTTAAGTCATTTTATACAATGTAAAGAACATACTTATTTCACTGATCAAAACTTGAAACTGGTCCAAATAACTTAAGCCATCTTCACACAGACAGTTAAGCCTAATTTACGAATACCTCTGTGAAATTTCTCAGCTCTATCAAAGGGATACTAGAAAAATATATTAATTAAGTGAGGAATTGGAACACTCTTTTTCTCATAATTAAATTTTCAACACAAATTAAAGTGCACTAAAATGGAATAAAAAGGTGAACTTTGAATGAAATATTGCTAGCCAATTTAAATTTTATCTAGAAACACACAGAAACTTAAATAATAACAAAAATAAATGGATGGGATAAATTTTAAAATTTCACTAATTGTTACCTTTTGATTCTTGTTTTCTCTTAAATCCTGTCAAAGGAAAAGAAATGTAAACAAAAATTATGTCATTAATTAAACTACACACTAATACTGAAGTAAAAAAATATTAATTATTTAATTTATTACTTAAGTACAAATTTTTTTAGATCATTCTTATTGTAAAGACAAAATAGTAAAAAAATTCACCCTTTATTAACCCTTTGACGGTTAAGGAAATGAGCAGTTTTCGTTGACTTAGTTCACGCAGTATTACTAGTAAACAGTATTTGAAAGTGGCAGCTATTTTTCCCTGTCGTTCTTCCGAAAATGTCATCCTTCTCTGACGTTGCCATAGATAGCTCGCCTCACGTGCTTTAAACATTTCTTAAAGTATTTGTAGTACATAAATAATAGTTTTTACATACTTTAAAATAATTAATAAACGATAACTATTAAATAGTAAATTATAAATGATTATAATCAATTATATAAACAATAATAGTTAATTATAAATATAAGACAAATATTAAATTGAAAGGACTCAATAAATACAACTAATGTAAAACTTTATAAAGCATTTAAATACAGTAATTACCTAAATACTGTGAACAAAGTCTTCATCAGACTCAAAACTTGATAAGCTTTCTGTATCACAATCATAATTATTACGCATAAAAATAACAAGGTAAATTACGCATAAAATACGCCAAAATACGCATAAAAATAACAAGGTAAAAAGAAAAATTCCCACTTCATTATGAAAAGAAATTAATGGAACCTGTACTGCCATCTGTACACAGTAAAACTAACTAAATTTCGAGAGTAGGATTCGTTTGCAACATAATGAATGCAGAATAATAACAGCAAACAAGCTCATCTCGTCAGCACTGGGAAAAATTTCACTACACGAGTACTGCTCGTTTCTAAACATTTTGGTCAAAATATTTCTCCCGAGCGGAACTCGTTTATAACCATCAAAGGATTAATCTTAATTTCATGTGCTCATCATAAAGAAATTAGGAAAATATTTGAAACTTTTCCTCAGAAATTAGTGAACAAAATTTATCTAAAATTAAACAATAACATTATGCAACTTGAATTTAAAAAAATTATATCATATTGACAAATGTTTAAGTCGCTTACGGTTGAGTAATTAACATAATGTTGATTGATTAACATAACACCTATTCCATGAGTAGGTATAGAATTGGTTATGTGGCCAATATTTATAGTACTCAAATGCTTATTACTATTTTAGCGTTCAACAAATATCTTTAAAAAAATAAGAAATATAATAGACACATAATATAAAATCTAATTATATTATAGTTAATTAATTTAAATGGAAATCATACTTTTAGAAATATACAAATATAATCTTCATAAAAGAAAAAATTTTATGCCACCAAAATATAAACAAATGACTTTAAATAAATTGTAAAGAATTTCATTAGCTTTACCAGCAGTTTTATTTTGTTCTAAATTTCAAATATTTCATTTTTACTCATGATCTATTTTATAAAACTTATTCACGTACCATGTTAAAGAATATTAAAATAATATCAAGCATGTTAACTATTCCAAGTCTCTTCTTGTTCATTTTTAACTATCATAATTTTAGACAACAGGCAGATTTTTATAATTTCCAGATGAGTAGCTGACCTTTAAATACTACACTTTAAGATACATTAAATCCAGAACCTTATTAAACATGAGAACTTTATAAGAGGATCCTGCAGTAATAAATTACCATGCGTTTTAACAAAAGAAAAACTAACACCATATAACCATTAAAGAAAAGTGTTAAGAATGAGTAAAATAGAACAATATGGTAGGGCAGTGAGTCCATGTCCAAAAGTTTGTGGGCTCGATCCCCGCGGGTCGAAGACTCCCCATGTAGTAAATGGTGACTGATGCACGTTAAATCTGTCGAGTCTCAAAGTCCTCCATGTTCCCATAACAAATCTATACCTCTGGGGGTACTGGTCTAGGAGTTTCCTTGTCTTCTGGGTTGGTTTAAAATTACAAGGCTACGGAGTTGAACATTAGTAGTCGTAAACAGAAAATTGGGTCGGCTGTTAAACGACGGATATAGAATAAAATATGTAAAATAGAGTTATAATAATGACTATAACTCTTAACAAAACGTTAAATTAATTTAAGATTAAGATGAATAATGAAATGATTAAATAATGCGTACATTGAAATAGTGAAGAAGCTTCACCTGATTATAGAAATTACAGAGGTAGAGATTCTAGAGAGTGAGAGTTTGGATACAAATTTTAAATGAGTATTCCTCATAATTTCAAGAACATCTAAACCTTAAAATAATGATTTAAGCAGAAAAAATTTTGAAATTTTAAAACAAACCTGTTCTAAATTTTGACTAGGAAGGTGGCATTGACAGCTTCTAAGGGATACTTATATAAAATTAAGCTCCTCATTTCACCATATGTTTTCCAATCGTGAAGGGCAACTGTTGTTAAATTATGAAATATTTTGGTCAAGTTCACATATATATATAATAGATAATGTTTACATATATAAGCTGGAAAACAATACTTACATTTAAAAAAAAAAGAGTTATAAACATACAAGACACTTTTTCGAAAAATATATTTTATAATTAAAATTTATAAATGCATTTCCCTATTGAAGACTTAAATTAAAGCAAACAAGTTCACACATATTCTCACATTATATAAAATATTCCAGTGTTTTAATTCTATTAGTTTTTCTTTCCTAACATAAAAAGAGGCATACAAATAGCTGTAAAAACAATTGTTAGAAACATTTAAAAGAAAAAAAAACTCCAGCCATTCAATCGAAACAGAATCATTTTTTAAAATTGGTGTCACTCGAAAACTGGAAAAAGTGTTCCCATCCATGAATTCCTATTGTGTTGTTAAAAAAAAGTAAATGAGTGCTGACAAATATGACATCAATTTAAGGACAGCGGTACTAAGTTAAAAAAAAAAGTTTAAAGTTTTATTAGTTTATTTTTACAATCTTTTAAGAGTATTTAACACTTAAGTTTAAAATATGACAGAGCAGAAGAGAAACATTTTAGGGTTTATTTCAAGAACCACTATTCTTTAAGTTTCCTCAAACTTATCACTTTAAATACTATTTTTCTAAAATACTATCAAAACTTATAAATAAATAGTATTAGGAATGCTATTTTTTTTTTCTTTCTTCTTATGATTTTATATTTTTGAACTTGGAAAGTATCTACCTAATGTTCATTTAATACACAAAAATTATGTTAACTTTGACATCTTCAAGAAAAAAATATTTTTCAGACAGACACCAAATTATGAAAACGACTAAAAAAATAGACAAACAGTAGAACGAATTTTCTGAATGATAATAAAACTATAAGCTGCAAGTGTAAGATTTCTTTTTCTCTTCTTGGAGACTTACATATTTGAAATAAAAGGTGAAATTATTTCAGTCTTATGTATTACAAATTATACAAACATTTATTGTATAGCAATTTGGAATTCAAAGATTAAAACCTAATCTTCATTCATAAAAACGAAACATATGAACTGATTGAGATATTTACACTTAACACTAACAAAGTGGTTAAACAAGTGAAGTGATGGAAGTCTGAAAAGACAATTAAATTCTTTTCCGCCAAATTTGAATGGATTTTTGTCATCTAATTGAAATGATAATGGCAGTGTGTAAATGGAGCTCAGTTTCTACATCACTACAAGCAATTGTTAGAAAAATAATATTGATCAAATTAGCTTCAGATACCTCATTATATTAAAATAGAAAAGCTAAAGATTTTAATTTCAATGTTTTCACTGCTAACATAGAACACTGACAAAAATGAACCAAATAAGTTGCAAAACGTTTTTATATGAGCATGATATTTGCATATAATCTAGTGAAAAAATCATTCAGTTAAAATCAACAGTGTGCTGTTTTTAAAAATATTTCATGAAATTATCAAATTTCAAAAGTTAATAGAAAGTAAAGAAAGGTAGAAGAAATAATTGTAGCTAGTTTTTTGAGTTAATTAAATCAAAATTACTCAAGTTATTCTAGAAGAAAAAATTCAATTTTTAAAATAAATTCTTATTCTCATATACAGAAGCGATAGCATAAATTTAATTTTTTTAAATAAAAAAAGAGAATGCTTATTTTTTTTCAAAAAATATACAAATTAAATAACTATTCCTTTAATAAAAACTAGAGATATTGTTAAATCAAAGATTTTAAGAGGAGATAGTTGAAACTAAATCTATTCTGTACATAATACAAGATAAGTCAGCTTTACTGCACAATGCACAAACTAAAAAAGAACACCTAAATTATTTTTAATGTAATCATCATATTATCATCTAACATTTATTTCTAATGATTTAAAGGAATAAACTTAAATATGCTAATTAGAGCAGATAATATTTAAAGTAGCTAAATCAGACATAAAATCTTTTTGTCTGTTAAAACTTAATTTCTCTGAATCTCTCTGCATTCTTTTTCCCTCACAGATTCAAATTCTTAATCTTCAAAGTGGACATCTGTAAAATATGGCCACAGTAATTTAGTCTGAACAGCCATTGAAAGTTAATGTGTTAATTTTAATTTTTGCATATTTCATCATAGGTTTGGAACTATTTAAGCAAATCAAAAAATTTTTTTGAAGAGGTATGAAACTCACTCAATTATTGTAAGATAATATTATACTGATATATTGTAAGATAATTTCATTGAAAATGTAATTTAATATTATTTTTTTAACAAAATATTTTAATAATGAGCAAAAAATTTTCAATTCTGAGCTACAAATTTTTTTTTATCATTTTAAACTAAGTAATTTTAAAAAAGAAAAATCCAAAGATCAATTAGAATCAGTGAAAAAGTACGAAATTGCGATAAAAGTCTTATTTTATATATTCTTTCCTATATTAGTGATTAATCCTGAATTTTGAATTTCATCATTAAAAATTATATAGTTTTAAACAATGTCAAAATTTATATACCTTACAATTCACACATTATACAAACAAAATTATTCTGTTGTACAATACAGAAAGTTATGAATCTCGTTACGAAGTCGTTCAAAAGTTACAAATTTTTTCTTTATATAAGTTTTAAGAGTGACAAAAGTTTTCTTTTCATTTGCTTGAATGGTTCTATAAATACAAACAAATAAAATGAATATTAAGGGGACCAAACTTATGCCTGCTCTCCTGATTTAGTTAATTTCTAGATAGCAATTCCCATTATTTTAAGATACAATAATCCAAATCCATTGGAAGAAAAGATACCTTTATTCAGACAAAAAAAAAATAGTTTACTGGCTTTAATTAATTGTCATTATTAACATTCACCTTTTCAAACATTAAGATTGCGCGTAAATAAGTGAAGTTTGAATCACCAGGTAACAAAGTATTAATTTGTTTTATGCATAATGTACAGGCATATTGGTATTGCAATTAAATACGCATGAGTCATTTCTAGTAACAATTGTAAATTGAGCAAATTTATTAAAACATAATTTAATGTTTCAAATATCCTTCTAAATTCTGATTAGTCACTATTAATTGTTCATAATAAGAATATTTTTTTGAAATTTCATAGAAAAAAAATACATTAATGATCCGAAAGTAAAAATATATACATGCAATCAATCATTTGGAAATATTTGTCACAGCACAAGTTGGGAAAATTGTGAGATGAATAACAACAAATAATATATAGGATCTAAATGCAAATCGTAGAATAGTTCAAACTCACTTTAATAATTTTAATTTTTATCTAATGATTTAGGTACTAGCAATAGGATATATCAGTCTTCAAAAGCAATTTTTATATTTGTCATAAATCTTTATATACATTTTTGCTTTGCTTTTTATTGCTATGTTTCTGTCTTATCTTTACTCAATCTTTCCCGTTACTACATATTTTCATATTAGGAGTCTATTTACGAAAGCATAGATGTAATAAATTTTTTCAGTAGTTCAAAATTATTTTAAAATTGTAAAAAGTAAACTTGCTTAAAAAGTATTTGTTTTGTAGTATATTGATTTTAATTATAGATGTAACTTCACAATTTTGAAGAAATTGTAGCTCTTGGTACAAAAAAAAAAATTACATGAAACAGCATTAGTTCTACCTCATATTAAGATCAGTGGCATAGTGATAAATAAGTTTCAGGAGAAAACAATTTCATTGAAGCAAGTTCCAACAGTGTCTGCCTAAAAAATAATTTATTTTAAAAAATATAACAGGGTTAACATACGAAAATTTATTTGTTTTCTTAAGATTTCAGTTTAATTATTTTATATTTAAAAATATTAAGCACTAGAATGATTGTGAGGAATGCAATGTTCCCAAAAAGCTCCTTGGATTAAGCTTTCCTATTCATTCGAATGCCCTTTAAAACTTCCTAATATATAAATTGCAATTCTTTCTAAAATAATTTTTGAAAAATATATATTTATTGAAGTTTTTTTAAAAATAATCAATGATGTTAATAAAACAGATAGAACACAAGTGATTTCGTAATTTATAACACATGACACAAATAAAATTAACTTGAGCTAATCTTTATAACATTGTATTTAAGCAATGAAACTTTTTACAAAAATGGTTTTAAATTATTTTTTCTAATAAAATTTTTGAAGGCACGTATTAATGAATTTCCTTAAATCAGTAACCAAATCAAATTTTTTAAAAAATGCGAAATTTATATACACCACATCATTGCCAAATTTAAAGAACTTTCTTATAAGTTTTCAAAAGAAATTTTAAAAACATCTATATTTTAATGAATGAGATATTTACTTTCTCAATCAATCAGCTTTTTTTTTTAGATTTCAGTAAATCTCTTTAAAGAAAATTTTTTATTACCTAATTTTTTATTTTAAATTATCCTTTTTAAGCTATTAACTACTCAGACATTATTGCTACTAATTAAAAAATAGAAGATGAACTATATGTTTCCTGAAAAAACAAAATAATAACCAATTTTTTTTATTTTTAAAGTGATATTAAGACAAGCACACATTATTTTTTCTAGCAAGAAAGTCGTTTGGAGAATAAAGGAAATGAAACGTGAACAATTAATTCATTAATAAAAATATTTGAATTTTGAACATTCTTCTAGTTTAAAAGAAAAAAAAACTTTCAAATACTAACTTTTTTTATAGTAAGGTAAATTTTCTTCTGAAATGCAAACAGCCGAGCCTCAGGAATAGATTCATGATGAGATGATAATAATGACCAGACACTGTCATGCAATGCTGATACTATATACTAGAAAAAAAAATTTACAAGTGAAACAAAACAGATATAATATAAATTATGTACTAAATAATAAAAAAAAATTGCCGTCAGTTTTGTTTGTTTGTTCTGTTTTGCATTATTTACATTTACAACACATATACCAAACAGATTCTACAACAATGTTACATATTTCAAGTTCAAGCACTCCATAAACCTAATCTTAGAAGATAATCAAGGTGTACCATTTGTCCAGTTACGGTCTTAAACTACTTACGGGTGTCATTTATGTTCAAAACTTGAGCGGTAACCTTCATTGGTGCAAGTTTATGAAAAGAAAAAACCAGGCGTGGAAATTATTTTTAATGATTTTACTTACATATTATTGCTTATTGATATATTTTTGGAATTTAAATTATGTCAGCATATTTATAATCATTAATGAAATATCTCGGCACACCACTAAATACAGAATTTAATTGTGCAGAAGGGAGGATGCAACTGTAGTGTATCTACCACTACAAAAATGCAATTCCATTTCACTAGTATATAAGACATGTTAATTCGATTCTATGGTGGGGTGGCTTTTCATAGGCGAAGGTTGACATCTGCTATAACTTCTCCCCCACATTGGTGACCGGGTAGTTGTTCTGTTGTAGTGGTAGATACACTACACAACAAATAGGGGTGAATTGAAATACTTTTCAGGTAAAAATTACTATAAAAATTGTATAATAATCATTGAGGTTTTATTAACTAAGGAAGAAAAGAAAACTAGAAATATATAAATTGTTACATTTACTATAAATTTAGACTATAAATTGTTACATTGTATTCATTATATTTTGATATAGAATGCTCGACATACTTTTAAAAAAACTGAAGAGATAAGAACAATTAATAAATAAACTTGTAGATCTGTATCCAGATCTGGACAGAACTCTATAGATCTTATTCCTAATCAGAATTTATAGATGAATTTGTTTTACAAAAATTTTAGCTATTATTTCTCTTAACGAATTCATCAGTAAAAGTGGATTGGGCTTTATTATTTTTAATACCATAAAATTAAATTTGTTGGGATCAGTTAACTAGTTGCTACTGATTATTTTTTATACACTTTTACACTACTCAGTTTAAAAAAGACACGATATGAGTAGACTTGTGCATTAGCAAAATATAATTTTTCTTTCAGCATGCAGGTGATCACTACACAACAGATTCCCGAGCAATGCTTCCAACTTACAAGATGACAACACTGCAGCCTCATCACATTCTAGTTCTATAAATTTTTTGCCTGATAAAAAAAACATTTCAAGATTCCTATAGACTGTAATGGTGAAAAAAAGAATAGTGGCATACGAGCACTTAGGATCATTTCAGGAATAGAATAAATAATAAACCTTCTTAAATCCATAAAAAATATTATTTTCAAATTTAATTTATAAGTTTTTTTTTTAGTTCAAAATGTACAGAAAACATGGAAAATATTATAGAACAATGAAAAATGGGAAAAAGAAAAATAATAATAATGAAAATAATAAAAATTTGGGAGAAAAAAAATCTGAAAAAAGGGGGGAAATTAATAAAAAGCCGTAAATAATCTTTTCATCAGCTCATGTAATTATATCCACAGAAAGGAGTACTTTCTAATATTGTATCAATATAGCCAAAGCAAAATATATCAATACAATAGTGTGAGAAGCAATTAAAAGAAAAATTTCCAAAAAATTACAACAAATAAAATAGAACACATTAAGTAAAAATATCGCACAAAATCAGAAAATAAAATAAAAACAGAATAAAACATAAAACAAAATCTATAAAGCAAATAGCGAATTCAATTGAACTTACATAAATGGGAATTTTTTCAAGAATGATTTAAAATATTTTTACAACAAGATTGCCAGATTACAAAATATGAAAACAGAAGCTCAAATTGAGGTAAAAGCAAAAATAGAGTTTTTTTTTTTCTTTTTCTAGTGGATTCTTACTACAGTACTGAAGTGCGTTTGATTTGTTAGTTATTGAGGATGGGCCCGAAAATAGATATGCACAAGGTAATATTATACTGCATAATTTAAGGAAGTTAACAATTAATAATTTTAGAAAATTAACTTCTATTCAAGAAAAAAATAAAATAGGAAATATAAAAAAACATGAATTGCCTGTTTTGCAAATAATTTTTGTCGTGGATTTGCACATGGTAAAAATTATATAAATTAACAAAGAAGTTTTTTAGTAAATTTATTTACAATAATATACAATTAACTAAATGATTTTATATAGAATTTAATTACTTTAGTTGTTGTTCATTGTTTTTTTTAATCAATTTTGAAAGAGTTTTTCTATTTGTTTCTTGGATAAACAAACATTACTACATATTCATTCAATTCTATTCATTTGATTAAAAATGGTATTTAAATAGATGTTCTAAGAATTCTAAGTAATTAGTTTATTTACATTAAAGTTAAAATAATTTCTTTTATCTTACAAATCCACAAAGCAGATATTTTCTTCTTTTATAATACCCAAATCCAAAAAAATGAAATTAATATTATCATCATTATTACAAAGCAAAATTAATTCCTCGGGGTAAATGTTGTTAAATAAAATAGTATAATCTTGAAAATTATAGATAATTAAATCATCAATAAATCTAAAAATAAATTTAATATTAAGAGTATAATTTTTTTACTAATAGTGCAAAAATAAGTTAGATAAGAGAAATGAAAAATTAGATCCTTGTGGTATTCCATCAATTTAAAGAAAAATATCTTTTTTATCGCAAAGATAATTATTAAAAATACAAAAATTAATTAGAATTTCCCAATAAACAAAATCATGACTACGGATATTTTTAAAATCATAGTAAAAATTCAAAAGTACATCTTTTAGTTTAGAAAGGGGAATGCTATTCAAAAGATCCTGGAAATCTAAAGTCACAATAGAATTAATTTTAATATGTTTAATAAATTCTAAAATCGGTTGATTATTAGCAATAATCCAAGAAAAACCTTCTTTAATAATATTGTTAATAATTTTATTTAAGTAGTTAGAGAAAATGGCGCTAGATTTAGTTAGGTAAGTATTAGTGACATGTGATTGTTCTAAGTTTTATAGGAATTTTATGAAATTTAGGACTGATAATTAAGTAAGGAAATTGTATATAGCTAATTTTAATTTTTAATCTCTTATATAAAGTCAAAAATTTTTACTATTTTTTAACTCCGTATTTAAAAGTGCAATATAGAATTTTTTACAGAAGATTGGATAGTTATTGTTAGCTTTGTCTATGGGGAAACTATAAAATGTTTTTGCAGTTGCTTTATTTATTGAACAATTTTAGAAAAATTTGTTGAATTGTTACAGTTATTTAAATTATCCTTATTATTAAAAACAAAGTTTTTAAAGTAATAATAAGCAACCTATTTCCATTCTGTTAACATACTTAAAGGTAAAGAGAATCTATTTGATAACTTTCAACAAATACTATTGAGATCATTAAAAAAGTATTTTAGAAATTTATTAATTGATATTTGGTAAATGGGTCTAAATTTTGTGCCTTTTATCATTAAATTCCTAAGTTCTCTATAATATTTAAATTACCAGTAATAATATGTTTATGTTTATCAATAAAATTTCAATCTTTTTCGTCTTCACTGTGACATTCATAATCGGATATTTAACTTTTCCCAAAATTTTTGATAACATCATTATAATTAATATAGTTCTACCAAGAGATTTATTATATTTTAAGCTTTTAATTACGTGAAATTCTTTTAATGGAAATAAATTTTCAAAA